ATTGAATCTAAAAGTACAAGGCTCCCTCCTTCGAATGCCGTTGAGTTTGCTCAAATATCTTTTTTTTTCGTTGAGATATCACATGTTGAAATTTTTAAGTTTCTCAGTTTCTTAATATACGAAAATCTACTAATATAAGGACCCCTTAGACATCAAGCAGTCGATTGCAATTCAGAAACTTCATACCCATACGGTTTGTGGGTTTGAAAATGGTGGGCTTGGGGTTTGTAAACTTGGAGTTTGTAGGTTCGGGTTTTGTGGGATTGGGGTTTGTGGGTTTAAGGATTGTGGGTTTGGGGTTTGTGGGTTTGTGGATTTGGAGTTTGTGAGTTTGAGTTCGTATGTAATGAAGGTTTCTGAGTATGAAGTTTCTGAACTGCAATCAACTGTTTGACGTCTAAGGGAACCTTAGTAGATTTTCGCATATTAAGAAACTGATAAACTTAGAAATTTCAACATGTGAGGTGAGGGAGCAATTACTTTTAAATTATATGTATTTTTTTTTAAGAATAGATGGCATTACTACATAACCTCAAATATGACGAAAAACAGTGTTTTTTGCACTTTTATGTTAGGATATCTTAAATACCTGACGTGATATACCAATTCTGCGGCCAGATTCGGATTCAGCGCACCAAAGTCCTTCGAGAATGCATATTAGTGTGTCTGCTTCTTGCCCTTGTTGAATGAGAAAAGTAAGTTAGATTTTCGCGAAATTATTATTCCGTCACTACTGAAGAAAAAGAAAACAAATGTCCGTGAGGTCAATCAGGGGTTAGTATTTCGTAAATTTGTTTATATCTAATTAGAAATGTCACGTTCGATAAATATTAATAATCCTTAGGACTGATAATATCCAATGCACTATTCATACAATTCACCTAGATGTCAGAAAGCTTCAATTGCATTTCAGATTAGTCTATTTTATTTCAGAAAGCATAATTTCAATTTCAGATTACGAGTAGTCGTGTATTTAAGAAAAAAACCAGTTTTAACTCCGAAAAAGTACATTATACAGTGTGTCCAAGGTTAGATTTCGCAATAGGGTAACAACATATCATATTAAAAATGCTTACTTGTCTCGAAACTACATTTCCACAGAGCAAATATGTGATTTATATACACAGTCCATGAATATTAACATTTTTAATAGTTTCAATTTTTTTTAAATTAGATAAAGTTTTATCTTTTCTTTCCTCGACACTTATTGATAGATTGTTGAAAATTTTATTCTGTGCAAAAATGTCTGCATTAATTGAGATTTTCAGGAATTACATAATTTTCATTTTGTATTACCTACGTCAACCACTTTGATTTGATTTATTTTAATTTTCAGGTGGACCATCAAGGAGATCATGCAATCCTAGAAAATTGCTTAAAAAAAGACTACCCATAATAGCATGGTTGCCCACCTACACTATTGGCACACTATTACACGATCTTTTGGCCGGTTTCACGGTAGGTTTGACGCAGATACCGCAGGGCATCGCTTACGCCATCGTCGCAGGTAAAATATAATTTGACACTCTGTATATATTTTCCATATTACCACATATAAATTAATAGATATAGAATATACGACTAACTTTATTTTATTGGCTTCTAGCTACTGTTTTCGTATACTATACTCACCCTGTATTGAGACATTTACAAAAACTGTTTAAATTTGAGAAAATACTACGCTGTATTCCCATAGAGAGTAAATATTCTGATTTCACAGCTTTCTTTTCTTTTGGTTTTATCTTATAACTTATTTGAAATTATAAATACAGAATAAATTTTAAATGTCTACATATATTTAAAAAAAAAAACACCTGTACAGTTCACTTTATAGAACATGTAATAAATAGTTTTTTTTTTGCGAACAAGTTAGGAATAAAATAAGTTAAACTGAAAAAAAATAATCATAATTTTCTAATAGAAAACTTGTTGAGAACCGCTTACTATCACTACAGAATTTACGCATAACGTATATCTAGCTTTTTATATGATATAGGAAGACAATATTATAAAAAGAAGCATGATCTATCCCTTGGTTTTTACCGTAATAATTATGAACTTACTTATGTTCACTTGAAATCTTGAAATCCGCGTGTTTTTCATAATTTTTTTAAACCGTCATATTTTATTTGAATGTATAGTCTTTCCGAAGTCAGTTGAACATGTATAAAAACGTCTAGCAATAAAATTTAATGAGTTTCATAGGCGTCCTTAAAAAAGTTTTCTGCTAAAGGTAAAAAATGGAAAGGGAAAATTTGAATTATATGTTTATTTGACCAACAACATATTTTAATTATTTATGTTCTCAAACAATTTTATTATATTGATGGTAAATTTCATTTTGTTCCCGTTTCAAAAGGTCTCCAAAATGCCATGTTGTGATAGTATAGGAAACAAAATATCCCTCTTATTTCTTCCTTTCGCAATTGTAATATGAATGATTCATAATTTGTCAAGCACTTGTCAACAACTGAGATTTATTGCCCACTCGCCCAGTGCGGCTGTGTTATGCGCCGAGTTGCTGCGTCAGCGACCGAACCTGGTACATACAGCCCACTTCTTGGTTCTTCAATTGAGATCGTAAAGACTATATCATAGTTCATTAAAAATATTGACTAAATGCGCTTTAAGGTACTTAAAAGAAAAATACCGCCAGTGAAAATAACAAATCGACGCAGACACGTCAACATTGTGTTGCCTATTCCATCCGAGGAATGATTGTAGATCAGTTCAGCAACCAGCAGCGCGTATTTTTGGTTTCCTTCCATGTCGACAGCGGTTTTCAAAGTGTAGGTACCGTATGACTGGACTAAAATTTGTAATCTTAAAAAATACTCTCACTGGACTCATTCTCATTGCCTGTAGTCAAAACAGATGTATACATTTCAGATTCACCCCATATAATGAGTTCCAAATTGTTTTTAGGTTTGCCAACCCAATATGGACTCTACTGCGGCTTTATGGGAAGTTTCGTGTATCTTTTCTTAGGCAGTTGTAAAGATCTTACGGTTGGACCTACGGCTATCCTGGGGCTTATGGTACAGCCCTTTGTCCATTCTATGGGACCAGCAGGAGCGATTTTGATCTGTTTCTTATCTGGGTGTATAATTTTCTTATTAGGGTTACTGCATTTAGGTAAGTAAATGTACCATTATTTTTAATTATGTATCTAATGTTACTGTGTGTCAGTTCTACTAAAAGATATTTGTGTATCTATACCTCGGACCAAAAAGTTATATTTTATGAAAGAGACGATTGTCATTTGTCAACTAGCTGCATGGTGAGATTATAAAGAGGCAAGTTTTAATCTAGATACATATTAAATATTTCCGTCAAGCTTAATAATTTGGATTAGTTTATTAGTTTATACCGCGCGCTCCAGAATAATTGAAGCGTTTGGGGAACGCAGCCTGTTTCTAACACCATCTTTAGCATATAAAAATCCGTAGTATGACAGAGACAGGCATAGGCTGCGATCTCCAAACACTTCAATCATTATGGATCTCTCTGTATATAACTTCGATTCCAAAGAATTGGGTTGCTGTCCCATTCTCCAATAATGCACTAGATTCATCGGCGACTAGACGCTGATTGGAGGCTTAGCTGGCGGCTCCATCTAGCTCACTTTTAGAAATTAGACTATACATCTGATGTTGTAAAAAACAAGATTTCTTTATGGTTACCAGTAACTTGTATTACGCCTTCCCAACAGCACTTTGGAGGCTTTCGACTGAGTCGTTTTTCACTGTTTGGATCAATCACAGATATTTAGTCGCGATCCCTGGTCGCGATGTGGACACTCGATTGAGGATCTAGGTCTGGGCCTCAAATTTTGAATTGAATATAAAATGTTTATTTATAAATATTGAATTACAATATACGGCCTTAAGATGTGGAATGTACATAATATAAATATATTGAATGTTAATGATCGTACTGAGTACTGACCAGAAACGTTGCTCTGGTTGCTTATCCGAGAAAAAACAAAGTCAACGTTTGAACACGTCGAACTGAACGCTTCGAGATAGCTCTGTTAAATCCTGAAGATCTTCGGTACTGGTTTCGACGTCTGGTTTCTCTAGATTTCGACGTGGTGGTGTCTGGCGGGAATGTCCAATCTGGTTGCCCTTTTTGATTTCTGAAACGGGCGCTTTCTTTGCGCGCCCCGCTCGTGGTCTTCGGCGGTGCTGTCTTAACAGCATCGGGCTCTGTTGACATTGTCTGTTCTTGATTTTGGAAGTCGAAAGATCGGTGATTTATTCGATTTCCAGACAGCGTGGGTTATTTTCGAAGTTCTCATGCTCATAGCATTTCCCACGACAAGACCAAATGACATTTGTTGTCTGGAAATTAGTTTACAAAATTATAAACAATATATTATTATATTTTATTTATCTGCACCTACTAATCAATCAACTTTTTTCGAATTTTTTCATTATTTTGTGTGTTCCAGTTCCATACAAGTGATATCATTACTTTAAAATTTAATTGCTATTCTTTTTTCCTTGATAAAGCAAATCATAATCAATAATCCCAATAATAACTATTAAGATCTGTACTTGTTACTTATTATTTATCTTTATTTATTACTTTAATCGGATGTTAATTGCTTGTATTCTTCTAATGTAGGTACAAAATATAAACAGAGAAATAAAGATAACGGTTCGTTAGGAACATATTAGTAATTAAGTACCTAGATTAGATTAATATTTGGTTAAGCTTAATATTTAATTGGATATATTGTTACACATCACTATGCATTAGAATATTTTTGCCTTTAATCCAAGGAATTTAAAGATATCCTTAAAGGAGCTCATAAGGTACTAAATAAAGAAATATTATTTTTGACGTTTTTATAGGAAATATATTACATGAATATTTGTTATCATAAAAAATTTTCCGACATATACAGTTCAATCTTGCTCAACGTGTAAGATTTTTCCGTCCTTTTTTTTAATTCCTAAAGCCTGTATCGGACAATGCAATTTAGTTGCGGGGATAAAATTGCATGCTTATTATCATACAATGGGATAGAATTGGTGTAATTTGTTTAGTTTCCAGTAGTGTTACCAACTGTACATTGTTTAACATGTAAAATTTATTGTATGTATCTTATAAAGAATAATTTTTTATTCAAGCAAAACATTGCAATGGATGAAAATTTAAAAGTAAATTGCTGTATGGCTTTAATAGTGGTTTCAACGGTTTTACTAACAACAGCCATGACCAACAGCCGACAACAGCTAGGTTGGTAATAAACAAATCTTCATAAAAGTAACTAGAATCCCTGCAACTTTGTTGCACGGAATAGGGCATGTTCTAATTCATGGATTCTATTGCGGCAACCAAATTCCTGCAACAAAATTTCATTGTCTGATACAGGCTTAAGACTTTCATCTACTAATGCAAATCGCCTGCATCTTAATGAAATAAATGCAAGTAAAGAATTGTTAAATTTGGACATATTTTAACTCTTTGAAAACTTAATTTCCATACAAATATTCCTTGTTGTAGGATTCGTTGTGGAATTCTTCTCTTACCCAGTCATAGCTGGTTTCACGACTGCTGCAGCCTTAAATATAGGCTCGTCTCAAATAAACAGCCTTTTGGGTATCACTGGAAGATCCCAAGACTTTTTGAATACTTGGATACATGTCTTCACACACATAAAGGAGACGCGAAAGTGGGACGCCATTCTAGGATTTACCACTATAGTATTTCTAGTACTTACCAAGGTAAGTATAGTAAGAATATACCGCCCTTTCTCTCACTCAAGTTAAATAAACTGCTTAGTATATAGGAATACAATAAATAAAATTAAATAAATATATATACATAATTTTTTTAATAGAAAACTTGTTGAGAACTGCTGACTTCAGTGTAGTATTTGAGCGTAACACACGTACTGTTGAGAGAGGTTTTGTGTCTTTACTATGAAAACCAGTGAAGTGTCTTCTATTGATGTAGTCATGTGGATGGGAAGTTCATGACAATTTTAAGTTGACAAGACTAAAACTTAATCTCAAATTGCGAGTTTTTAATTGCAAAAAAGTTTGATTATATGCTTTTATCTTTATTGTCACTACAAAGTAGCATCAAATCTTCAATTTATTTCTTAGCAAATTCATCTATTTGCTCTTTCTTCATTACTTTGTGCCTTGTATTCAGCAAAGGCGATTACCAGCTTTGATTTAAATATGACGTTACAGATTTATAAAGACTAAAAGATATTATTACATTTAAGCATTTATGTTATCTACTTTTCCTTCATATATTTGTGTATTCTGTTAGCAACTGAGGGATTATGGAACACTCAAAATGCGGCCGGAATGGTCCAGAAACAGGAACATCTTTGGAATATTCCTCTTCATGTTTTCACTGGCGAGAAATGCCTTCGCCGTGATCATTGGCAGTGTATTAGCCTATTATCTCAACGAAGACGACACTACTCCCTTCAGACTTACAGGTACCTGTACAGTTTAGTCACAAAAAGTCAGTGGTATGATTATTTTTTAAATAATTCGAATGCATGTTTTGTAATTCTAACAAATTATATGGATTTAAAGACTATTCATTATTGATCTATGCGAATTTTAATTTGATTTTTGTTTTAGGTAATGTCACAGGAGGATTGCCGCCTTTCACTCCTCCTCCATTCAGCACCACCTTCAACGGCACAGACTTCACATTTGGCGACATGGTTGCACAGTATGGGACCACAGTCGTTTTCTGTCCGCTTGTCTCCATTCTGGGACATGTCGCTATAGCAAAAGCGTTCTGTAAGTACTAACATTGAAGGCTGACCTGTTAAGTATCAATCTGTCGTTCTCAGCTAAGGGTCGTACCTTGGACGCTACACAAGAACTCATAGCTCTTGGCATGTGCAATATTATGGCTTCGTTTGTACAGTCGATGCCAATCACTGGTTCCTTTACTAGAACTGCAGTGAACAATGCTTCAGGAGTGAAAACGCCCGCAGGAGGAATCGTGACCGGAGCTATCGTTCTTTTAGCACTAGGTTTCCTAACCACAACCTTCAGATACATACCAAGAGCGACCCTGGCTGCTGTCATCGTCGTCGCCATGTACTATTTGTGCGAGTTTAATGCTTTCCCCTTGCTGTGGAAAACGAAGAGTAAGTTTTTGCATTACTTTTGAAAATAATTCGAAATGGAAAAGAATTGATTCTTCTGGATCGCCAATCGTCATTATCTTTGTTTTTATCTATAGAAATGGACCTTATTCCCCTTACCGTCACTCTACTTTCCGCTCTCCTACTCAATCTGGAATATGGAATTCTAATCGGTTTGGCTACCAACCTGATCTTCCTTTTGTATACTTCTGCTCGTCCGAAAGTAGACATCGAAGAAGCTTCACTTGGTGTCTACATGGTTAAAATGAAGACAGGTATTCAGTTCGCAGCTGCCGAGTACGTGAGGGAGGCTATATTGACGAAGTGCAAAGCGGAAAAGAGCACCATCGTTGTTGACGGTAAATATGTAGGAAATATCGACGCCACAGTCGCAAAGGTAAGAGGTATGAATTAACTTCTTAAATTATTAGTTTGGAAGTAAAATTTTCTGTGATAACTGAGTCATCAAATCGCAGGAATGGTTTGGTGTATCATTGTTTGTAATAATGGATCTTTATAATACATTTGGTCTGCCTATCCATATCCTTTAAAAAGTGCTTTTAACCAATTTTGTATCACTTCAATTGCATCATTTTCATTTGTAAACTTCTGACCTTGCAAATATCCTTTAAAAGTCCAAACAAAAAGTTTTGTACACATTTGAAATTTAGTTGCTCAAGATTTCACGAATCTTTTGACGGCCAAACAGGAACTAATGTATTTGGTGAAAAAACTTTTAAGCGTGACGAATTAGAAGACTGGTGTTATGCAATTAGATGAAATTAATGATATCATTTTGTTTTGAAACGAGCTAATGAAGAGACTGACATTGGTGGAAGATCCACGAGATATTTTTTGAATTTTATCTGAAATGGTGTGAGACTATTTTACTGTCATTGTTGGATCTGTTTCCACAGAGAAGACAATTGCAGAACAGCTTTGATTTTGAAGAAGCATATAAATCGTTTAATGCCGCATCAGTGATGAAAATATGTATGTATGTTTTATGATTAAATACTGTTGCAGGTACCAAATGCCAGTAAATTATGAGATCACGGATTGTATATTTTTAAAACCCTCTCAAATATGGCCTCTGTAAGACTTCTTTACCTTATCTTGTCTTGAAATTGAAATCGCCAGATCTTGTCTTGGTTTTATCTCATCCTGCGAGACAAGACAAGATCAGTAAAAACAAGACAAAAGTGCTGCTTCTAATTTAGTGTACGAGTCGGAGGAATCGCCCCTTTTGAGTGGAACGTTTCAATGGTATCCAAAGCTTCAGTTTGTTTAGTAGATCTGACTGTATCAAGTAGCAGTTACAAATACACCTTTTTCTTGGATTCTCCACTAACAAATCGGTAAACGGTCTAAACTCATATTCGGGCAATCTCTTAATTAGATAATGAAGAAGCTTATCCCGATTCGCCTAATTAAGGTTATAAAGAACTCCGAGAGAGATAAGCCGTTCCTCGGAGCTTCAAGGAAAGGATCTCCAGAAACAAGCGGGATAAGCCAACGCACTTTTTCTCAGTCGGAATGTTAACGGTAGGACCATCGGACCTTCAGGGGCAAGGATAGGAGAAACTTGATAGAATAGGCCGATACCGAAGACGAAAGGACTTACGTCGTGCTCAGAGTATGCCGATCGACACTGTTTTGTCGTGCGCCAATATCCGTGACGGGAAAAATGGCCTCGAATGAGGCAGGATCGAGCGGGACTATCGCTCTTTGCCCACTCTGTTTTTTCGTGACATAGACAAACTATTCTCCGGATATTAGTACTTAGACCCACTTTAAATACAAAATTAGGTTCATACCGACGCGTTACTACGAAAACATGATATCTCAAATTTAACTTAGAAAACATGCTATCTAAAATTGTACTTGGAAAATATGCTACCTCAAATTAAGCTTGGAAAACATGCTAGCTCAGACCTTTAAGTAAAAGTTTGACTAGGAATTTAAGTTGGCTATATTGGCGTTGAAATGCACATTGAATGATTGAAACCGTGTACTTACAGTAAACTTATATAATATATTTTTCAAAAAGTAAGGAAAATTTATGTTCAGGTAGGTACACTGTTTATTTTACTTTTTAATTCATCATTTTTCAATTAATTTTGTTAAGTAATAAACGACAAAATTGTTAATTAAAAAAATAGTATAATATGCAGTTAAGTATGTTGCAACATGTACATTACTCGACGTTTTTGAAATAACATATAAAAAAATAGTGTATACCTTAATATATAAAAATGTTTATTATTACTAAAAATTATTCGATTTCTTCATTTCTTGCTTTGATATAAAAATTAATAGCGCACTCTTATCTGATTTATAGTCACTATTCTTGATACACTTATTTTTATTTTTTTTCACAAAAAATGGGATGCACAATGCACATTCTGAAAATAATTTTATATGCCTAATGCGGACTCTAAGGAGACTGCAATAAAAAGGATTATATAGTGGGCCAGGCTAGGCCCCAAACTCCGGGTCCTAATCGTTCTTACTGCACCTCAATAAAAATAAATGCCTTCTTAAAGGTATGGTAGCCGCGTGCTTGCATAGACTTTGGAAATGAAATGCAGGTATTCGACACTTTTATTACCGGTATTTTATGATCTGCTGGATATCGATGCGACGGGCGTAGAGCATATGATATGCACGTGCACGTTCCCGCGGTTCCCCATGCACACATGTTTATCGTACATTATACATACATTATATTTATATTGTGGTTATTATGTTAACTCTATTAATTAATTTTTGTCGTTTATAACAGTAACTTAACAAAATTAATTGAAAAATGTTGAATGAAAAATATAAAATAAACAGTGTACCTGAACATAAATATTCCTTACTTTTTGAAAAATATATTAAGTATATAAGTTTACTATAGGTGCGCGGTTTCAATCATTCAATGTGCATTTCAACGCCAATGCAGCCAACTTAAATTTCTAGTCAAACTTACTTTTGTGTGAGATAGCATGTTTTTACTTAAAGATCTGAGCTAGCAGATATTATCGCGTGACTAAATTAATTGGGTTTTTCACATCCCAGAAGATTATCAATGTAATGTAGTTTTCCCAATGTGATGTGAACCTTGAATGTTTTGCTACCTCTTCAATTATAGTTTCTTACTTTGTGTTTAGTAACGATCTACTCTATGCTCATTTACAGTTTGAAATTGGTTACAATCCACGTCAAAAGCTTAGGGAACCGTTTTATGGACTATGTGTGTTAGAAAGCAAGGAGATCATGTTGAATATGCATAAACAATTTCTGTAAACACTATAACTTCTTCTTATAATTCTTCTAAAAGATTGCAATAGTTTCTACAAGAGCTACAGATTTAGGAATTGGAAAGTATCTTTCACAAAACTTGTTCTAAATTTCAGAGCTTTAGCGTTCTGAAGGAAGAACTGGATATGAGAGACCAAAAGCTGTTTCTACTGAATTTCAAGCAGTCTGTGATGGATACCTGTTTAGGAGTCAATAAAAAATTGAAGCAGTGCTTTATAGACAGTATGGAGGAAATTCCCAAAGGTAATTAAAAATTTATTGTAGGGTCTCTGGCAAAAATGAAAAAGATTGAAAACTCGATTCGTTGCTAGTGAGTTTCTAGAAAACCTGAAAAAATGCTTAGTTCCTGTGAAAGAATTTGTATAAATATAATTTTCTAATTGTTTCCTCTTGTTTCAGTTCCTTCAGCAGCGAGTGGGGATGGTTTCACAGTAAATACTGTGCAATAGTATTTTATAAATACACTTTTTGGCTGTGTTCCTTTTTGTATGAATGTATATTAAATATTTTATATTCAAATGTATGAACAAAACATTAAACGAGATTATTTAGTATTATTTCCTTGTTAATTTTTACTCCCATGATTTGGTAAAGTTGCAGTTAGTAGTTCTTAGTAGACAGATTATAGCACAAAATACCTACTGCTTAAATAGTTCCTAGGACAGTTCTCAAAATAAACTCATTCCGTTGCTGACGAGTCGATTCTCAAAACAAAGGAATTATACAGGGTGTAAATTTAAATGGTGAAGCTACCGTTTACCTTTAGGACTTCATTTATGCATTCAAAAATTCATTATGTATGGGCATCCTCCAAAACGCAGCACAAAATTTTATTTAAAGAGAATACGAACAACAAATTTATTAAACCAATCAAAGACTTTGACAGTTGTTTCAATTGTTATCAACAACTGAGAGATCACGGCTTACTTTGTAAATGTATTATATTTTTCATTGTCATCGATTCACAATAGTTTGGAAATCCACTAATAAATTCACGTTTTATTTAAAACGAATGGCTTTACCATTTACCTAAAATATCTTTTTTTATAAAATAGCCATAAAACTACCATTTAAACAGTTTGAGCAGATTTTTCAAAAAATTTTGTGACGTCATTAACGCCCTCTCCCTACTAGCAATTATTAAACTATTTACACGTTGTTTGAAACAGGTTTTTATAAATTTTGAATTCGACATTTCTATTCTTCGATTCTTCTATGCTCCAAATGCAAAATTCTAAATGATATATGTAAGGTAATAACTAAGGATTCCAAAAAAATCATGACAAAATTAAAAATATCGGAAAACTGCACATTATTCTAAAAATAATTAGATACTATTGTCTATACACACGCTCCTGGTGAGGTGGTTAAATTTTAAATTAGACTGCCCTTTATTAGTCAGTTTAATCATTTAAAGTATGAAGAAAGAAATTTATTCATATACAGGGTGTAAGAAGTTTGACTGTCATTACTTCAGCATGAGATAGAGTAATCATAAGTGAACAAAAAAAGTTATATATTACAGGGGTGTAAGATTAACAGTTTTCAAAATACAGCGAGTAGTAATATTGAGGAGTTTCATCACCACGTGACAACAGCGCTTAACCTGCTGATGCAGACCACGTGTACAGGCGGCAGACTTGTCCTGCGGAAAAAATGTAAACGACTATTATTGTGAAACATTTAGTAAATTTCAAAACAATAATTGTTTTCCAGTTTTTAAATAAATAAAATGTATCGATTTTGTAGTACGATAGTGTTGTGCTTAAATTTTAACTGGAATTTTAGTAATTATGAATCTCTTAAAACAGGAACTTAACTTCAATCAAAATATGTAATTAGAGCACCCAAAGATTCACATCGTCCAAATAATCATACGTATCAAAAATAATTTAGGTACTTACCAAAAAGCAAAATTCAGTAATTTTTAAACGCACAAGTACAAAACAAACTACAACATATGCTTAAAATGTTCACCACCATTTTCGACGCACGCACGACACTTTCGAATCCAATTTTCGCGCATTCGCTGGAAAACACCTCAAGATAGTGGTACGCAAAAAACACTCTGACACGGTCGAATCCAGATAACTACTGAATTGCTGGTTGCTGGACACCTTAGTACCTCGTGTTAATAAACCACCGTGTCGTTGTCACATGCAATATATGAGTTTTATCGAATTTTAAATTTATTACAACGCTAATTATTTTCTAGAATTAAGCATAAACAAGTTAAAAAAAGTGATAAACATTGTATTTTATGGTACTCTATGCAGGCAGTTATGTCAATATTCCTTATTCCTTGTACAACAAGTTGAAGATTTTGATCATTTTTTTCTCGGAAATGGTTGAGTTTTCGAACCATGTCATATAAGGTTTTTTGTTTAGCACAGCATCTACCTCGACTTTACCGCTCAGATTTGTACATATCGTTGATTAGTTAATTTGTTTATAAGGCCATAACTCGCGAAATAATCCACTTACGAATTCCGACTTTCGCATAAATTATATCTGTGATAACGATATATTATTGTTTATTTAAAATGGCATAATTGGCGGTTTTTTGCAAGTAACTTTTGACCGGATTTTTTTAACGCTCGAGACGTCATTTTGTATATCCTTTAAAGACGAATAAAAAAGTATTTTACCATTTCTCTGTAGAAGCGTCAGAAAAAAAGTTACAGTCGAAAAACGCGAATGTATTCTATCATCTGTTAAAGTTAAGGCAGTCAAACTTCTAACACCCTGTATTAAAAACAACAATATATAAAAAATAATAAACTTCACGCCCTATATTTTAGACACATGTTGAATTAATTTTTTTTTCATAAAATAGTTTGAGGAATCACCCTTTGAAATATTTTAAACCCTTTAGGAAACACAATGTGTAGACGAAATATCCCACTGCGAAAATATTTAGATTTACGATTATTGCTACGTTATTATTCGGATTCACTGATAAGAGATGTAAATATTAGATTAAAATTAAATCAAAGATTCCGACCAAACGATTCTTTGTTGATGGTCTCAGTTTCGCTCGAAATGTGGAGAAAAAGAGTGCTTTCCTTGGTTTCACGACAAAATTCTGGTAAGCATACAATTAAAATTAAAAGTCGTCATTTTTTACGGATCAAGGATTCTATAGAGTCAAGAAATTTAGCATCTATAGTAGGATCATATTCGATGCAGTACGCTTTTAAGGGTTTTAGAAATTGAATAATTTCTTTATACATTATGAAAGGACGAAGGGATCAGTTCACGTCTGGCACCCTTGTTCCTACAAAAATTTCTTTATTCTCATAAACTATTTATTTTAAATATAATTTATTATAAATCCAATTTGTTTTTTAAATTCCACATATGTATTACATTTTACCTCTGTACGCGCCACTGTTGTTTACTTGTTTTTTTTTTGAGGCGTCCTCTGATTTACGTCCAAGCTCGCCAGGTTAGTATTTGACGTATAACCGACCACTTTGTACACTCGATGCACCTGGGCGACTATAGCTACTACCAGAACACAGTGCGTATGCAGCGGTATTTCAGATTTTACATTCAATTTCATTTTAAATTTGAAATAGTTCATCTTACGCCTCCTAAAAATGATGACACGATTTTCCTTTGATAAAAGGCCGACAACTTTTTGCTCTACTTTGCATCGAATACGATTCTACTATAGTACTGCTTATTAAAATGGTGGGACACTAATACAAAAAATATATTAAATTCGTTCGATTTGGTATTTTATTGATCACTGACAGTTAAAAATTGAAATACCGTCCGGTAACTCATGATAAGTATAGGTATTATTATGTGTGTTAGAAGTTTGACTGTCTTAATTTTAACAGACGATAGAATACATTAAACTAAACAGTGACTAGGAAGAGTGTGTTTTCTGTGTTTGTGCCATGAAGTGGAGTAAAGAAAAGATTTCCGGAGATTTCCGTTTCTTATTCTTCAAAATTGTATGATGAATAAAAATATATGACGCTGCTGTTAACTGCAATCGCAGTGACGAATCAATTATTGCAGTCAGGTGCATACTGCGAGTTTATGTTCCTGTGTCGTCTCGTAACCTTATTTTGTTACGTTACGGAATGAATGATACGACCAAAACCACACATACTTTCGCAGCGAACCGTGTCACCTTTTGCAACAGGCCGTAACATGTTCGTTGTTACGTTACGGAGTATTGCCACAAGTGGATACCCGCCTTTATAGTTGTTTACAATTTTTCCGTAGGACAAGTCTGACGCGTGTATACGTGGTATGCATCAGCAGGTTAAGCGTTGTTGTCACGTTGCAGTAATGGCAGTCAAATTTCTTACACCCTGTACACTCAAAACTTAAAAAGGACGAACATTCGATTAGGGTTCAATAGCCCTGTTCATTCTACAAAATACGTTTCTTATAAAACAACAGGTTTACTTATAAGTATAATGAATGAAATGTACCACGCGAATATTGAAAGTACTAAATAATTAACCATGCATGGCCTGTAGTATAAAGAACCTTCAATCTCCACATTTCATTGCTTTACATAACAATTACAACATTCGTCAACACATATGATCAATAACGAATATTAATTGCCGTAAATCCATCATGTATCGTGGTACTCGCGGTTGTTCCGTACTATCGAACGAAAATCCCATCTCAGTAACTACCTGTGTCGAAACCGCTGATCAGGAAAATCTTTCAACACGAAAAATTCTAGGAAATTTCGTGTAGTCTCAGTTTTTTGCCGCTGGCCAACACAACAGAGAATAAATTAATTCGCTTGGACAACTACGTTATTCGAATACGATGGTTGTGTTTATTAGGTGATAAAAAGAAACTAGTGCGAGATAGCGAAACACGGAGTTATGATAGTAATTTTTTTTTATGGTTAAATAACAACATTTTTATTTGTGTGCATTGTTAGTTGGAATACCGCAATGGCAATTATAGGTGAGTATTCTTTTTGTTAGAAATTAGAGACAGATTAACGTTTATACTGACTATTTATTTCTATGTTTCATTATACAACATACAGCTCAACAGAAAATATATAGTTTTGTGCATAAAAATAAAATTAAAATAATTTCAAATTTAAACCAAAAACTTAAAAGATGTAGGTATGAATTAGAATTATTTCTTTTATTTAAGGTTAAAAAAGTATGCAAACCCATAAAATATCTAGGTAACTAGAATATTAGAAGGAAATGAACATGCCTAGTTTTGAAAAAATAACAAGAAATACGAAAAAATGAAATGTTAAACATTTTTCAATAATTAAAGTATAGTTTTTCCGAAGTCAATTGAAAAACCTATAATTTCAAGGTATGTACCAGGCTCGGCCGCTAAGCAACTCGGCATTGAAATATTTGAAAAACATGTTCCCATATTTATTTAGCCATACCCATATATAGGTCTGGTCGAACTAAACTAAAGTAAAGCATGGTCAAAGTAAAACGAGCACAGTAGTATTGGGCTTCTAGGCAATAAATCACACAGGCGACAAGTGGTTCATAAATTGCCTAGCAGTGCAGTGCTGCAGTGCGGAATTTGGTGTGAATCAGGCAATTCTAATTTATTATAGGCACTTTCTATCAATCATTCATATTACAGTTGCGAAAGGGAGAAATAAGAGGGATATTTTGTTTACTAATATTATCACAACATGGCATTTTGGAGATCTTTTGAAACGGAACAAAACAAAATTTACCACCAATATAATAAAATTGTTTGAGCACATAAATTATTAAAATATGTTGTTGGCCAAATGAACATACAGGGTGTCCGGAAATTCATGCAACAAAATTTGGGCATAGAATCTTAAGACAAATTTAGGATGCCCATATTTTTTTTTTTGCCAACTGGCCTCCTCTTTCGGAGTTACAGCCCCTTGAAATCTGCCCCTAAGAAGTCTTTTTTATATCTCAAAACCATGTTGTACGAAAATCATTAAATTTGGTACACAGGGGTTTTATGACATGTGGAATCTCACAGTGCTAGCTTTTTGGCGAGAAACCCCCATAAGACGCTTTTTCGTGGACCTCTTGTCTTTGGAACCAGAAAAATTTGGTCGCAAATTAGATTTTTTTAAAAATTATTAGTTAGCTAGAAAGCCATTGAATTTAAAAACTTTTTTGTCTCTTGATATTTGTTTCGTAAAACGCAATGTTTTTGAGGAAAATGGCGAATCACGATATGCATTCGATCACATTTTGACATTTTTCTCGAAAACATTGCGTTTTACGAAAAAAGTATAAAGCGACAAGAAGTTTCTAAATTTAATGGCTTTCTAGCGGACTGATAATTTTTAAGAAATTTAAATATGCCACCAAATTTTTTTGGTTCCAAAGACAAGGGGGCCCACGAAAAATTGTCTTAAGGGGGTTCCCCTCCAAAAAACGTAGCACCATCAGATTCCAGATGTCATAAAACCCCTGTGTACCGAATTTAGTGATTCTCGTACAACAGGGTTCTGAGATATAAAAAAAGGGCCACTTGGCAAAAATAAAAAATACGGATCCCCTAAATTTGTATTAAGAATCTGTGACCAAATTTTGTTGCATAAATTTCGGGACACCCTGTATAATAGAAATTTTCTATACATATACAAATTATTATAATTTTTTACCTTTAGCAGAAAATTTTTTTAGGGACGCCTATGAAACTCATTAAATTTTATTACCCTACGTTTTTTTTGCATATTCAACTGACTTCGAAAGGACTATACCAGTCTTGCCATATAATTTATGTACAGGATAATTCACAAATGGTGACCAAAAATGAAACCTCGACTTTTTTGGTGAATTTTAAGGGGAGTCTGTCCTATGAAGTTTTTATTTAGAATGCTTCGTTAAAAAGATACAGGGTGCTGAACTTCAAAAAACAAGTTTAATTTTTTTAAATAATTTAAAAACTAGTAAGTGAAATAATTTGAAATTGGGTGCATGCATTTATGTAAACATTGTTCAAAATCTGAGGGCTTTTCCTAAAATTTACATGTTCCAGTGGCGGAGATACAGGGCATCGGTGGCATATTTTTCAAAATAGAATGGTATGCCACTGCTTTAAGGTAAAAACCATGATATTTATTTATTCGAATAAAGAAATTAATAACATTAGTCATCATTCTAGTGATTTTATTATTAACACGGGCCCGACATCTTTTTAGTAACGAAAATGTAATTTGTTCAAAAATTATTGTTGCTTGAATCTGATGAAAAGCATTATTTCTTCTAACTGCTCAGAATGTCAAACTTGCTATCGCAGCCCACTACGTAATTTTAAAAAGCATTATATTAAAATATCGAAGTGTGTTCTCAATTCGTTTTTTAAGTTTTACTCGAAAATTTGTAGAAAATTGAAGGATGAATCCGAAAATATCACGGCTTTTAATTAGAAAAATATGCCGCCGATACCCTGTATCTTCGCCACTGGAGCATGTAAATTTTAGGAAAAGGCCTCAGAATTTGGACAATATTTACATAAATACATGTGTCCAATTTCAAATTATTTCACTTACTAGTTTTTAAATTATTTAAAAAAATTTAAAATATTTCCTGTAGGTTAACACCCTGTATCTTTTTAACGAAGCCTCCTAGATAAAAACTTTACAGGAAAGACTCCCCTTAAAATTCACCAAAGAATACGAGGTTTCTCTTTTGGTGCCCATTTGTGAATCACCCTATAAGTTATGATCGTTAATCTTAAATTTTTTATATAAAATTCTATGTTTCAAATATTTAAAAAGTTTTTAATTGATGATATTGTGGAAAATAGCCCAAATGAAAATATACCTTACTTTTGTTCGCCCAGGTATTTTTCAATAAAATAAAAATTATTTTATATTTTATTAGTCAAAATTTATTGAGAAAACTAAAATCAAAATATAGGGAGCAAAATAATTTTAAAACTAAAACAAAAACTTAAAAAATATACATACGAATTTGAAGAATTCTTTATAAGCTTAAAAAAAAACAATTTATAAGCAAAGAAACAATAAAATATCTAACTACCTGTATAATGTTAAAAGAAAATGAACACCTTGTTTTGAAAACGAAAAACAATTACGAAATAATATGAAAATATTAAACATTTTTCAATAATTGAAGTACCTTGATGAATTTTTCATGATAATTCAATTTTATTATCTTTTATAATTCTCTAGTTTATTTTTTTTATTTTCTTATAAATATGTTAGGCCGAGTCTTTTCACATATAATTTATTTAATCTTCAACCTTTAGTTTTTTATATAAAATCACATCTCATTCAAATATTTCTAATTATGTCTTGACCATTTTTAATTGATGATATTGCGGGGAGCAACTACTCCGCGGACTAATACCCTAAATTTTCATTGTTTATTCTCCAAAAACTAGTATACCATTTAATAGAGTTTAAAATATTTTAAGTTTAAACTGTACTTATTCTATACCTACATAAAAATATATGGTAAACATTTTATCACTGTTGTAAGATTTCAACATTTTCTGTTTGTCTAGGTTTGTGTAGTAATTCTTAACAATGAGGCCATTCATGAATCTTATAGTTCATTTCAGAAAAGTATAAGGAGTAACGAAATTTATAATCGTATTTCATAAAGTAAAAATCGTTATAGAATTTAAGCTAGCTAGCAATAATTGTAAAAAAAACTAATGATGGAGAGTAGGACAGGAGAAAAAAAATAACAGTATGATTTTTTAATTTCTTTTTGCATACTAATACATATAAGATATCCAAATAGAATAACATAAATCCAAAAATAATCTTTTATCTATTTAAACTTGGTAATTCCAATATAAATATCGCTTGAAACCATCAGCTCATAAATTTTAGCTCATTGCAGGTTATTGACTTTTTGTTCGTTAAATACATAAATGGTCGTCAAATAATTTATAACGTCTAAAATTGTTCGGAATTGCAACATATTTCAGAATTAATCTAATGCAAAGGAGATTTGTTACAACGCATTGATGGAAAATAATAAAAAAATTGCCGTGGTTTAAAATCCACGACATTTATATGAAAGTCTGTTTACAAACTTGTTTTGAAAATTATTTTCCCTTCGCCAATTTTTATACGGAATTTCTTAGCAATAATATAGAATTTCATTAAGTAATTGTACAGAACATTTTATCTCTTAAACGAAGTTAATAAGTGACAATCCATTTAGAATAAGGAAAAAGCATATTCTCATTACATTACTAAAATTTACACACCTTTCAATATAAGTACAGAAAATCGCGTACAGTACTATGTATAAACATTATCACATCCCGCAGAATGCTTTTAAGAAACTATTAACACGTTAATTTAATCATAATTATTAAGTATTTTTATACAAAATATTCTACAAAACAGAAAAAGTACATTCAGATGTTTACACATGGGCGCCCAAGTTTTCCTTGATCTTTCACTGCGAAAAATTAAGTAAATCCTTGTATTTCAATATTTTTGTAGTTAAACGGATTTTCTTGTTATATCATATCTTACTAAAAGTGCGATTTCTTGTCTATAAAACGTCAGCCTTAATGGATAAATGACTCAGAAGGCTATTTGCAGACAAAAGTAGCAAGGATATGATTACCATGAAAGGTCACTGTCGAGACAGACATGGCATAATTTACACGCTTACTTGGTGTCAACAACGACTACAAATGAATAAATCTAATTAATTATGATTTCTGAATCTCAGTTATTTCCAAATTATGTTTGGAAAAAGTATAAGGTCAGTATATCGATCTTGTGACCCTTTTCAAAATTTGTTTTTGTTTATTATTTTATCACATAAATGTCGCGGCAATGATCCGCAAATTTAAAATGAATGGTGTTATTGCCCGGAAGTTATCTTTACAATATATCTGAACACGCTATTAAAACAAATAGGAATAAGTCAAGATCAAGAACCTTTCATCAGACTTGGTTAAATTCTTTTACCCCACTTTCCATTGCGGAC